AGGGACGGCGGAGGAATACGGAAAAAGGCAGCGTCCCTGACGCTTAAAAAAATAGAGGACACTTCTTAGCAGCGCGGAGATTTGGTCCCATTGGGGAAAGCCTCGCAATGCGATGGCCGGGCCGGAAGATGGACCGTCTGCCGGGCAACTCTGGCGAGGGCTAGTTTTGGCTCGGGGCTCCTCCACTGCTTGACAGCGTTGGTGCGTGGGTCGGATTGATAATCTCTCTGCAGACTATGATTCTGGGAGTCTCTCTCCGTCGCACTCATGGGTTCGGCGTCGGTGCGAGAGAGACGCCCTGCTGGCCGAGTCGGCCTTGTCGGTCTCGCCCACGAGGCGGCCGGCGTGATGATCCCCATGTCGAAGTGCCCCGGACGTGCCCCGGGGGATGCTCACCGCCTCGAGGGGGGCTCCTTGTCGAGCCCGGGCACACAGTGCTGCGTCTCGCTCGCACCGCCGCGGCCGCACGGGACGCCCCGCGAGTGCGAGAGAGACAAGAAGCGCCGTCTACGAGGAAATCCGACAGGGTCGGCGGAGAGGTTCTCATGGCGCATGCCGAGGCCGAAAGCGCACGCCAAGGCCTCGGTCGAGGCCGCTAAACACCCCTAAACACCCTGGGGGCCACAGTCCACTGCACACTGCTCACCAAGGCACTCAAAGCTGCTCTTACTCCTGAACGTGCCAACAACTCCAGTGGCCTTTTCACCGAAACTGTATTCCCTTAAAAAAAAACTCACCACGTGACGTAGGCACGCTGACCCCACTCTGGGACGAAGGTGGCCCAGCAGTCGAAGCCGCCCTCCACCGGCTCGATGGAGAAGATGAACACCTGCAACAGAGTGACGCAGAAGTCACGTCAGGTGCCAATGAAGAGAGTGCACCAAGGGGTCTCCAACCGGCGAAAATCGGTGTACACGGGTGAAAAAGTCATTAAAAAAAGTCACTAAAAGTCAAAAAAGTCACAAAAGTCAAAAAGTCACAAAAGTCAAAAAGTAACAGAAAAACCACTATAAAGTGTCCAAAAAGTCACGAAACAGCCTTTAAAAATGCCAAATTTCAATTAACGCTGGTGGAAAAGTAACTTTTTAAGTCAAAAAAGTCATTTAAAGGTCAAAAAGTCATTTAAAAGTCAAAAAGTCATTAAAACGTGTGAAAGTGAAAATAGTTCCAAGGCAAAACAGTCGCAAAAAGTCAGAAAAGATACTCAAAAAAGTCACAAAAAAGTCAAAAAAACAATCAAAAAGTCACAAAAAAGTCAAAAAAGTCAGTTTTGACTTTAAGTCAGTGTACGCTCGCCGGCTCGGTTGGGGACCCCTTGGAGTGCACTGTGGGCGGCACGGTCGCTCCCTGCCTTTGGCTGCTCTGGACTTTTCGTCTTTCAGCGACCGGACTTCGCAAAACTGACGCCCGCGCCAGCGAGATGCTGCAAGCGAGGGAAATTTAATTAGTTTGAGCTCTTACCCGGTGATTCGATTTATCCGCGCACATTTTCGCTAGCATCCAGTCCCCTCCAAGCACCTCTCTTACGGAGAAAGTCTGCTCCAAAACACCATGCTGGAGATTTTCTCCACAAGAGAATTTTCGTCATGACATTTTGATTATTTTTGGCAGATGATACCTTCACACTTGAAACATACTTAAAACTACTATACACATGAAGGTGTCAGCGTGCTTTTACTCTCGAGTCCAGAAACGAAGCGCGTATCCTAAACAATGTAATAGGGGCTGGCTGCCGGGCCTGCCGGGGCGGGCGGGCCCTCCCTCCCCGCCTGCCACGGCGCGGAATATCGCGCAACAATACCTCCCGATTCGGCCCGGCCCGGGGCACTCATCGGGCCAGCTCGGGCTCGGCGGCGGGCGGTGCAGGCCACAGCTCGGCACGGCTAGTACCAACACCGGCCACCTCGCTCAGGGTCTATATATTTTGTTTCATACACAATTTTAATTACTATCTTTGGAATGAGCCCGCATACTACCCCGTATAAGGAAACCGAACGAGTATTGACTGAGAAATTTGAAAGGGAAAAGAAAAAAATTTGAACTCTACACCCCCTCCCCAGTCTTAATGGGGAGGCCTCCTGCTTTACTTCGGTGTTCGGGATGGGAACCGGTGCTATCAGGTACCTGGGGTTAATCCCGTCAGCGACCCAAGCGTTCGCCGGGGGACCCAGTAGGACCCCAAAGCTCAGGCAGCTGGGTGAGAGCACCCAGTACGAAGCTCTTTGAGGGGCGGGACGTAGAGTGAGACGACAGAGAGACAGAGAGAGACTCAGACAGAGAAGAGGTTTGGTGGGAGCTTCTTGTTTTCGTAGGGTTTGGGTTTTGTACCCCATGGTACCCCCACTGTCCGGCGCTCCCGTACCGAACATACAGCGTTTTAGGCCAGCTTCAAAGGACTTATCATCGCCTCCCCGACAAGTCGAGGAGGCACCACCCGCAACCACACACCGGGTGGTCTGGATTGATGGATCAAATACGCCATCGCTCCAGTGCCGAGGCCAACCCGCCGAAGCGGATTGCTTTTTAGACACCCACAGCGGAGTGGCCAGGTGAATGTGACTCTGACCACTACGCTATCACGCTTGTACGTCTGGCAGCGTGTTGGACGACGGGTTTGAGTTGCACTGGGAGGAAAGCGGTCGAAAAATGTAATGAAATGATGGGATTCGATCCCCGGACCCCGCCATCGGGATCACACGACTTTACGCTCTCGGCCACCACGGCCCATGATGAGGGGATCGGCGTGAGGTGGGTTCTTGACGCAACAGGACTCGACCGACCCGGTCAAAATTTCGCAAGAAGTTGGGGGAGTCGAACCGCCGACCCTCACACTGAGAACCGACGCCTCTACTCCCTGGACCACCACGTCCCATGCTCGGAGTGGGCTCACGTTTACGGGTTTGAACCGCACTGGGTGAGGCAGTAAAATTAAATGGAAATATTTGTTAGGAGTCGAACCTCCGGCATGTGGGCCTGTTGCACACGGCTCCGCTCTCATGGCCTCGAGCCACCACCCTTAGGATAGCAAGTCGAAAAAACTTTTGTGACGCTGGTATTCGAACGCCGGCCTGCGGTAACTCGATCCCACGTCTCTAACCTCTCGGCTATCACAGCAGTTGTGAAACGCGATGGATCATCTGCTTTAATTAACGTTCGTTGAATGAGATTTTTTTTCCCTTTTTGGGAAGAGCTCTTCTAAATTTTCCAAGTGTAGCGGTTGGGCTGCCCGTTAACACACAACCCAATGCTAGTCCCCGCAATGTTCTCGTGCAACTACATCCACTTCACTCGCTCACCGAGCAATTACATTCCTCGTACAACACCGCACTGTTGCAACGAACAATTAAATACCCATGTCAATGTCGCTGGGCAAGCGCAGGCGGTCCCGGCAAAATGTAGTTGTTCTGTCCTTCTTCCTGACAGTGCTCTGTCATAAAACTTGCCATATGTTTTCTTTTGTGTACTTCCGGTGGAGTGACGCGCCCTACTTCAACCCGTCCGAGCGACGGCGTGACAGCCGATCGGAAGCGCTGTCTCTCTCGCACTCACGGGGCGCCGCGTGTGGGTGTGCGGGTGCGAGAGAGACAGCGCGACCTCGCTAAGTGCGTGCCGCGGCATCGCGTGGCGTGGATGAGAGGTAAGTGATTGCCGTTCAAACTTGGCGCGTCAATGGATTGCAGGAGACACCACACCCCGCCGCCATCCATTTACGTGCAAACACTCTCTCTCTCTCTCTCTCTCTCTCTCTCTCTCTCTCTCTCTCTCTCGCTCTCTCTCTCTCTCTTTCTCTCTCTCTCACACACACACGACAGGTGGGAGAGAGACAGACGTGAGCGACGAAAACGACTCTCGGAATGAGTCTCCCTGCGTTCAATATTGCCGCGCTGTGGCCCGGAACTGTCATCACCAGGCGGATGCGTGACAGGATGACGCGTTTTTGGCATCTCCTCGTATAAAACCTCGAAGGACTCCAGTTAGTTGGACTCCAATAAATTGCCCTTCATTGCCCTTCAAACGTGAGAGAGAGAGAGAGAGAGAGAGAGAGAGAGAGAGAGAGAGAGAGGGGGGGGGGGGGGCAGCACACAGCTGGAAAGTAAGCAGAGCAGTTCAGGTAACGAAGTGACCAGAGCCCCAACAAATTTAAACTCCAGCTCGAGAGAGAGAGAGAGAGAGAGAGAGAGAGAGAGAGAGAGAGAGAGAGAGAGAGAGAGAGAGAGAGAGAGAGAGAGAGAGAGGCGAGAGGGGCAGTAGGCTGTCGCTGTAAGTTGAAAGCGCTTTCCTCTCTTCGGCCCTTCAGGCCCTTCAGGAAAGCTCAGCCGGAAGCACCCTTGAGCCTTATTGGGTTTGGAGTCGCCGCTCCGGCGTTCCGTCTAGACGGCGCCCTATAGAGAACCTTAGAACAGCCCGCCGGGGCGCCGCGCTCCGCGGCCAACTCGGACACCTCTCGGGGCCCCGCTTCGCTTTGAGGTCCGTTTTCCGACCTCAAAATTGATTTTATCTGAGAAAACTGCTGAAAGGGAGCCTGGCCTTGAATAACGCCAGTTCCACGAGGCACACTGTGAAAAGGAAACCTAAGGACAAAGTACGGAAAGGTCCGTCTAAGACTGTTGGTCTTCCACGGAGGGTTCCTACACGTTTTTCGTCCACTTTCGTATTTTTTTTCGTTTTTTCATTTTTTTTCTAGTGCCGGCTGGCGCGCTAACGCGCCACTGGGTGCCGATACCGCGCTGTCGACGCGACGCTTGAGTGATGGCGCTAATAAGGCCCGGGCCGCAGCTGATTCGTCGCTCCGTCTCTCTCGCACTCATGGCGCGCCCCGGAGGTGCGAGAGAGACAGCGCGTCTGGCCAGCTGGCCGGCAGGGGAGTCCATGCAGATGAGGAAATAGGCGAGGCACACCTGTGCACCTTTCAGCGGGAGGCAGGCAAATTATAATTCTTATAATTCTTTTCCCGGACTTCGCCGCCGGCACCGGAAAACGTTGTTTTTTCCTGCTCCTTGTTCAACAACAATTCCCTCCTCCTCTTTTTTTTCTTTCGCACTCGAAAAACGCACAGGAGAGAGATAAAAAGTTGGAAAATTGTTTCGTGTTTTTGCGCGAGAGAAATATGGGTCACGTGGTGGCGGCCGCGTCCCTGCGCGTCCCGCATAGTGTGGCCACTCGCAGTGGGGAAACTCCAAGTTTTAAAAACACGACGACGTCCGCGCCACCGCCACCGCCACCACACTGGGAACGGGATGAGATTCAGGCGAAGCGGGGAGAGGCCCAAAACCGTGAGAACACGGCGTGGGCGGCTGTCTGCTTGTCTCACGCGGCCTGCCGAATCGGTGCGCTGTGAAGCGATGCGAAGCCATGCGAAGCCATTCCGGAAGCATCTCTGTCTCTCTCGCGCGCCGCTCCGGGGCGACCCATGCGCGCGAGAGAGACGGCAGTAATTTGTTTGAGGACGAGCGGCGCGACGGCGACGACGACGGCCACACCGTGCAGGCGGGCCGCTCGCGCACTGTAAAACAGACTGCAAATGGTCTCCATTTACGTTCCTGGCCATACGCAGGGCGGTGCTGGACGAGGCGGAAAAGCGAGTCTCTCTCTCTCTCTCTCTCTCTCTCTCTCTCCCCTCAACACTCCACATGTCTGCCGCCTCCCCCCCGCTCTTTCCGCATTGACATTGAGACTTTAGAGGGATCAAAATAAAACTGGCGTTGACGCTCCTTCGGGGTGGAAAAAAAAAGGTGTGAACTGTGCGAAACTTTAAGTCTTAGGCGCAGTTTGGACCCGAAAGTCCCCGCTCCACACGTCACCCCGACGCGCACGTCAAAGAAAATGAGGGGAAATTCGGTCTGTCTCTGTCTGTCCTTTGAGAGCGAGCGGAGCGGACGGGCGGGGCGGGGCGGGGCGGGGCGGGGCGGGCGGGGCGGGGCGCGCCTCCACGCGAGGTTTCCCTCTCCGGCCGCCTCGACTGACTCGGCCGCCGAGTGCAGATTGGAGCGTAATGCGACTGGGCCCCCGGGGGCCGAATCGAGTCTAACCGCTCCCCCCCCCCCCACTCGCCGTCCACAACAGCTGGGCGTCGCGGGACGACCGACCGGGAATCTCCCGCCCTTGTCGACGCACCACATGCCTCTCTCGCACTAATGGGGCGTCCACTGTGGGTGCGAGAGAGCAGAGCGACGATAATGACCCTCGGAATCGGTCTGCTAGACGCGGCTCCGCGGCCCGCTCCAGCCGGATCAACTTTTAAAACTCTGCCTGCCCTCCACCGGGGAGCGTCGGGGAGGTCGGGGGCGGCCGGGGGCGGTCGGGGACGGCCGGGCCGCCCCCATCGGGCTGTTTATTCTAATTTCGAGTGAGTAATGGTGGCCCCTGTCCCAGGCCCTGTCTGCCCTTCCGTCACGCCGCGCTGTGCCTTCGGCTGTGCCGCACACGCCGAGCACCCGCCGCCATCTCGCCCACTCGAGGGAGAAAAAGTGGAGGCTGCTGGTGGATCGCGATGCTCGAGTGGTTTGCAGTTGACGTTGTGGCCCGCCAACCCGCCGACGCCACCACATTTCCGCACCCACCCCCGGCCTCCGCACAGTGGGCCAGAAGGCTGCGGTGGAGACGGTGTTTTGGGCCCCAGAGTCGCTAAACAGGACTCGAACCGAGCGTGTGACCCCACCAATGGACTCCTCGTTCGGAGAGCAATCCATTGGTGGGGTCACACGTTCGGTTCGAGTCCCATTTAGCGACTCTGCAGCTAAAAACGCGTCCGGAATTTTGACCGCCTCCACCGGTCTTCCGGCCCACTGTGCAGTGCCTGGCACACGACTAACAATGCAAGGTGGCTCAGTCGGTTGCGCGACCGGTAACTGGCTCTCTCTCTCACGCCCAGGCTGCGGGATCGAATCCCGATGGCGCCGCTGTCATCACTCTCGTCACGCCACTCCACTTCTGGCTGCCCTCGGTGTTGCCCCATTTTGCCCCCCTTTTGTCGCGGTGCCGCGGGGACTCGCGCCTGTGACGCGGTGCGATAGGGTGTTGTTGTTGTTGTTTTTATCGCCGAACAGGCGCTTTCACGCGCGGGACGCCACGGCACTGCCATTTAACAACAAAAGAGGCGGGAAATTAAAGGCACACACTCCGCGGACGGGACGCCACTGCTTTTAATAGTCTGGCAGCGGACTGCGGAGCGCTCGCTTCGCAGTGTCGCGTCGCCCTGTCTCACTCGCACTCGTGCGGATGGGCGTCCGAGGGGCGTCCCGAGGGAGCCCGAACGGGTGCGAGAGAGACGGGGAGCACGCCGTTCGGAGGCCGGGCGCGGTTCCACACGCGGTGCCACCAGAGGCCCCCGCGGAACGGCAGCCGAATAAATGAATTCGAGACAATTCCTTTCCCCGTTTTAGCCGTTTTTCCCCACACCCGTTCGCGAAAAAGAAATTCCAAAAAGCTTTCGTATCCGCGAGGATGGTGTCAATTTCCAATGCAATTGATGGCGAATTTATCGCTCTGGATTGGACAGGCTGGGGCAAGGGGGGTCAGGGAAAGTTGAGGGAGGGGGGGGGGCGGAACCTCGCGACAGGCTGGCCAGCGGGGCGGGGCGGGGCGGGCGGGGCGGGGCGGGGCGGGGCGGGGCGGGGCTACTTTATCCCGAAACCATCCCTCTTCCTTGGGTCGCCCGCTTCGCTTCCTGCCCCTTCTGGTCGGCCCGCCGATCTACTCCGAAATGATAGCCTTCAAACACTGACACAGACCGCCCCCCCCTCCACCACCGGGCCAACGTACGCGCCCATTCGCTCACCAACGGCCTCTGTCACCTCCTGCCGGTCGCCACCACCTTCACCATCACCATCACCAGGACTCAGGGGGCCGTCGTCAGGATCGCCATGACTAGGGCCACGGCCAGGGCCGGGGCCCTTGCCGCCCACGCCAGCCTCAAGACATCTCGCCTTTGTCCGGGACCATCCGCCGATTCCCGGAGGAGCACTGGATAGCGTTGACATTGGGCACCGCCCCCTCCCCCCTCCCCAAGCCACGTGCCTGGCACGGGCGGCCGCTCTGCAAATAGCGTCACACTGGGGGATGTGATGGCGGCGTCGGGGGGCTCGAGGCGCGCGTGCATGGGGGTGACAAAACGTTTAGGAAGTCAGCCGGCCAAGAAATGGCTCGCGCTCCATGGACGGAAGTGGAGTGTGAGGACACTGCAAGGCTCCAAACCACACATGACATTTCTTTCTCGATACGACGAGTGCACGACGAAAGCGACGATATGTCTGCTGCTGAGTTGGGGCTAGTCCGAGGGGGTAACGACTGGTAAATTTCGTGTCAGCCGGATTAAGGATTACCTCGGATTACCCCGGATTACCCCCAAATTACCTCCGGATTACAACAAAAAAATTCCTGGATTACCCCGGATTACCTCAAAATTTTCCCGGATTACCCCGGATTACCCCGGATTACCTAAAAAATTCGGGTTATCCGGATTACGGATTACCAATTTGCTGTCAGCCGGATTCCCGAAGTCGTTACCCCCTCGGGCTAGTCTAATGCGAGGTGAACGTACAAACGTAGAGCTCACTTTTGTTTCTTTTTCTTTCTGTGATGTCTCGGCTGTCCAACAGAGGAGACTCGATGTGCGGGCCGGACGCACGGACTTCGGCAGCAGCAAAGCCAGCGGGCCGTGGCCATGGCCGTGGCGCGCCGCGCCAAAGCCAGCCAAATCCCGGCGAGTAGTGACATGTGCGGGCGGAGCCATGTTCGGAAGACCTTCCCGCCTCCCTGCCCATCGACGTGGCAGCGCGTTGTCCAGCATCCGGTGCTCTATCTGTCTCTCTCTTCGATAAGGCTCTTCGAGATTAAACAAGTCGGGCCACGGCTTTTCGTCGCTCTGTCTCTCTCTCGCACACGTTCACGACGGTGAGTGCGAGAGAGGCGGAGCGACGGGGTCTCGCTTTCTTGCCGGGTAAGGAGGCGGCCCGGCGGCGCGTTCTTGCTGCGGCCCTGCAGGACGTCGGCGGGAACTCAGTCCGCGGGGCAGGCCGAGGGAGGCCAAGGGGGGCCGAGGCAGGACTTGCTGTCCTTGGCGTGCAGGCTCGGGGCCTGTTTGGACGACCCTTTTGGCCCAAGGAGCACTGTCCCGACGTATGGATAGGACTGGCCCATCCATTAGCCTCGGCCTCGGCCCACCAAGTGACCAAGAACAGCGGCCGCGTCCGCGTGTTGTTCCAGCCGCCCGACGCTCCAAAACACGCTGCGAGGCCTGTTTAATATCTACGTGGCGTCTAGAAGGCAAAACGGCCTGTAGTATTAAAAAAAATGGCTTCGTGGAAACAAAAAAAAAAGTGCCGTCGACGGGAATCGAACCCGGGACTCACCTGCGGCAGGCAGAAGAGCAGCGACAGTCCCCAGGCGGCCACGACCATGGCGCGGGCACGGCTCGAAGACCAGGAGCAGTAGGTGAGCGGGTGGCAGATGGCGCGGTAGCGGTCCAGCGCCGTGGCGGTCAGCACGTAGGAGCTGAGGTACACGCCGAGCGGCTGCCCGAACTTGACCACCTTGCAGAGCACGTTGCCGCCCTGGAACCGGAACGTCACCTGGGACGCCGAAAGATCGAATTAAGGCAACCGCAGGAAGGAAACTGCAGGAAGCAGGAAATTGCGCTAGTTGAAACAAGCGCGCGCCCACGCCGGGGAATAAAACTGTTATCGCGTGATCCAATATCCGCCTCGGATAACGCTCTCAAGTCAAACACAGGCACGCCTCCGGGGAGAGCGGCCGGCACACTGCAAGGGACCACTCACCTTCCAGACGAGCTGCGGCAGCACGCTAAAGAAGGCGGTCACCATGTCGGCCACGCTGAGGTGCAGGATGAAGTAGAACATGCGCGACAGCTTGCGGCGACCGCCACAGCGCCGCCGCGCGTACAGCGCCAGCAGCACCACCGCGTTGCCCAGCACCGTCAGCACCAGCAGCACGCCCAGCACCGCCACCTCCACCTGGAGCAGGCCAAGCAGGCCGACAGCGCCGTCAAGCAGTGCCAATTTCCATCCGTGAAAGGGAGAGGGGCCGCGAAGCCCCTTTGCCAATTGATGCCGCGCGCGAGTGCGAGAGAGACGGAGCGACGTTCAGACTCAGCCTACTGGGTTCAAAGCCGGTTTTCACTGCAAGGCCGCCCGAGCGTGCAGCCGTTGACTCAATCCAAGGGGGAACTCATTTTGGGACGCGCTGACTGACATTGGGACCGGCTTGGGCCGGAGGGGGAGGGGGGATACTTTGGCCAACTCATTTTCGAAGACTCATTGGCTCCGGCCTGCTGCAAACAAAGAGAGAGAGAGACAACGGGGGGGGGGGAGTGAAAAGTGCACGTGGCGCTGATGCGATCGGGGGAACGGACTCAGAGGATGATCCGAAAGCCATCACCACTCGCTCTCATCACTATCGCAGCAGAGGGGAAACGTCGTGCCATAGAGGCCAAGCATCAACAGAAACAAGGGGTGATTTTCATCTGCATCATGGCGCAAAAATTGTAACTGGATCTCGACTTGTTTTCTCCTCGGAGAGCCGGAGAGCCGGAGGCCCGGAGAGGGAGGAACAAGGTCAGTTTCCGTGCCAGCGCTTCCTACCGGCCCTCCCGGTCGAGGCGATGAAATTACACGATGCGCGCCGATAGGACTCGCGGGGTGCAAACATCGCGCCATCCTTTTCCTAAGGCCACTGGAAGCTTCCAATAATCTTACATTAGTTAGATATGAGGTAAACTACGCTTGTGACTCCCATACCTGTGCTCCAAGGATGACATACTTTTCATTTTCCACCTTTTCCTCATGTAATTCGTAGATTTTTAACAAAATTTTCTCGTCATTTTTCCTGAGTCGGAGCGCAGCTGTTTCCCCTTTCCAGTCCCGATATCGGAAGCCTTGGTGCGCGCAGCACCGCGCAGCACGGACCTCGGCGTCACTCCCTTCGCCATTTTAATGATCCTGAAAAAAGTTCTCTCCAGTCCGCTAGCCGAGCGAAGTTCCGCTACTCGACGTGATTCTTACCGAAGAGCGCGACCACTGCCGCCAAATCACAGTGCAGTGATCAATTTCCTCTGCAAAGTGATTCGTTTCGTTGATTGGCTGCACGGCGACGCGGCCGAGCGCGGCCGAGCGCCCGCGAAGTCGAGGGTAGGCCAGCCCGCCGCGCAGACGCGCGTCGCCGGTCGGGTGGCTGCCTACCCGCCAGGCGCTCCGAGCCGCTCCGGGGGGACTGACCCGACCCAAACAAGGCCAGCAATCAGACCATTTTTCGGAGCGTTCGGGGCATTGCCACTCCCAGTGTAACGAGTCTAATGACACCGAGACCGACCGAGACAGTCGGACGGATTGCCTCGGGCGATGCGTGGAGCGCCCGGCCACTGGCAGGCCTGGGCCCGGCTGGTCAGCTGGCCCCAGGGAGACGAAAGGACGTCTGGATGTCTGGACGTCTGGACGTCTGGACGTGTCGACGTCTCGACACAGCGAGTGCCCTTCCGTCACCGTGGGGCTGGTCCTCTGGACGTCTCGACACAGCGAACGCCTTTGCGAGAGTTCCGTCGCCGCGGGCAGCGCTCGTCCCCGGGGCCCCGGCTCGACACGCCGCCTCCATGTCCCTGCTGACTGTCTGCGAGACGCTGCCTTGCCATGGAGAGAGAGAGAGAGAGAGAGAGAGAGAGAGAGAGAGAGAGAGAGAGAGAGAGAGGGGGGGGGGGGGAGCGCCTCGGCCCATCAACGGTCTACAGTGGTCTCAGGTTTCTTGGTTTGGGGTAAGGAGCGATGGGCCTTTCAGCGACGGCGTCAGAAACACTGAAAAATCGACAACGACCTGCTGGGTCGAAACTGCACACAAGGCCGATATTTAAAAAAAAACTGACTTCATATCATGCCTAAGAACTCGTCAGAAATCTCGCTTGAAAATTGATCTACCATCACTGTCTGGTGACAGTGTCCCCGACGTCAAAATTAAAGCCAGTATTTTTCGTGATAAACGCTGAGCAACGGACCCCTGTCGGACCTCGTCGCGTCTCCCGCCTCGTGTCTGCGAACCTTATTCCACGCCGGGATTCCCCCGTCCTCTCGACCTATGAATATGAAATCATCTGCTCAGGGCTGGCAGCTGGTGAAAAATTAATCTCGAAAAACTGTTTTCCCGGGTACGAACTTTCACGCGCAGCTGCCCTCCACGCTACCCTGGCCGGGGCTGCGACGGGTTGGCAGGGCGGAACCGTTTCAAAAGCGACAGTCTAGCTGGAATGACTCTGCTTTGGGGACTCAGGAGACCCAGCACGGAAAGTCCGTACTTTTCGGGACTTATTCTGTACATTTCCCGGCATAGTTTGCAGTGTAGGAAGAGGCGAGGGGACGCAGACACGCCCTCCGGCGGTTCTCCTTGCAGACACACTGTCCCGCAATGGCCCGACTGCCCGGCAATGGGTCTAATAATACAAGGCGAGGGCAACGACCGCTTCCTGGTACTCCCCGTACAGGGTCTCATAACCTGCCCTGTCGTTGGCAGGCGGCGCACAGTGGGCCGGAAGGCCGGTGGAGGAGGCCAAAACTCTAGACGCGTTGTGAGCACCAGAGTCGCTTGCGACTCGAACCGAACGTGTGACCCCACCAATGAATTGCTCTCCGAACGAGGAGTCCATTGGTAGGGTCACACGTTCGGTTCGAGTCCTGTTTAGCGACTCTGCAGCTGAAAACGCGTCTAGAGTTTGGCCACCTCCACCGGTCTTCTGGCCCACTGTGCGCCGCCTGGGTGAAGAGGAGGGGCGTTAAATCCGTCATCCGGCGCGCAGCGCAGCGCGGCGTCGCGCGCGTGGAACGGCTGTTGTGTTGTTCCCGCCTCGCGACCTAAACCAATACTGTGTGTGCTATAAACTGGTGGTCTGCGCGTTCCGCGTATGCGATACGAAATTCGAATACGAATTCCTTGAATTCAGGCATTCGGGTCCACCGAGCGGACATGACGACAATGGTATTGCGGGTACGAAACGCAAGCTTGGCACCCGCGCATTGTTGACGCTGCCAGACCCGCGAGTCCACCGCAAAAAGGAGGCTAAGTTCCTCAAAAACACAATTTTATTTTCAAACGATTACTCGCGCGTCGAAGCGACCGGCACCTTATCCTGGGCTAATCCTCAGCGTTTAATCAGTAACTAAGCTCAAATTTTGAACATGAAAATAAAAGATGAACTACAGTGCCCCGCCACGGTATCTCAAGTAGTCCTCTTCTATCTCTTCGTTGATCCCGTTTCCTTTTGTTTCTCATTCTTTTGACACCACTCCACTTTTAGCGGAGGGAATGCATTATTCACAGGCTGGTAGTTTCACTGCAAACAGCCACCAGTGGCGAACCAAGGCGGGGCGGGGCGGGGCGGGGCTGGGCAGGGCGGGGTGGGCACGTGCACGTGAGACGACACACGCTTTGCATACATCGGTGGCAGGCGGGGTGAGGCGGGGCGGGGTGGGGTGAAGCGGGGTGTGGCGCGCCGCGGCGGGGCGGGGCCCAGCCAGCGAGCATTCCGCCGTCAAGGCGTCCTGCTGCGGCCCTGCCGGGCTCTGCCGGGCCCTGCGGGTGGAGGCGGGTTCGGCGGGGTGCCTTGAAATTGAATTGGTGACGCGATCGGCGGCCCTTTCGGTCTCTGCACCCGGCACCACGCCGCGACGCGCCGCGGTGGCTGAACCCTGCAGGCATGCCCGCCCAAGGCGTTCGTTGCTCCGTCGCCGACTCTCTCTCTCTCTCTCTCTCTCTCTCTCTCACTCCCCCTCCCTCCCCCTCCTCCGCCCCCACTATACACGACAGAGCCCGTCGCGTCGGGTTACGCTTTTCAAACTGAATGCCGCCGTCGGCACGCACACCTGCTGTCCTTTGCGGCCCGGCATACGAATGGCGGAGACCCCAGGAGCTCGGCCGAAGGCGATGGCAGCCACGAGAAAAGGTCAGAACCGGCCGAGGTTGAAAAGACGGACAAAACGAACAGAAAACACCACTCTCAGTGTGCATTTACAACTGAAAGTGAAAACATGTATACCTCTGTTTTATTTTATTTTTCTATCTTTTTGGTAGTTTTTTTTGTTCAAGGTGGACTTTTAGGTGCGTGTTCGGGGAATTGTTTCTGTCTGTTGCTGAGAGCGCTACAGCTGTTCATCTGGCCACCGAGTGCCCCCCTCCCCCCTCCGGTCCGAATTGGGACTAAAGTTCAGCCCTCCTCTGGTCCAATGGAAACCAAATAGCGAGCCACGAGGATTCCAGAGCGTTCCCCCGGCAGCCTGCGGGGGCCGGGAGGGCAGCCATTGGCCTTCTCAAGCGCGTCGGTCCACCCCGTCCAGTCCACCTCGGCGGAGAGTATTTTCGGCATTACACAAGTCATACCCCTCGTCTCCGCCCGAGCATTCCCGGTCCTCTTTGTTGCGAGGCACAACCACCTCAGACGCACCTTGTCATTCCTTCAGACGGCCGCCGCGTGCCTTGCGGGAGGGAGAGAGGGGGGAGCCAGTTGCGACGGACGGTTAGGTATTCATCTCTGTTTGAGATGACAAATGGGTGCTTGGCGAGCTGAGGACGCCATCAAGGCACTTTCATGGAATCCCCACAACACATTCTGCTGACAGTTTGGCTTTGCTAGTGACACTCGGATTTATCTTTTTTTTCTGCTGTCAGTTTTGCTTTGCCAGGAGAAACTTGGCATTTTTTTTTCAATTTTTTCTTCAGGTGAGCCACGCGATGCGCCTGGCATGCGGCACCACGGCGTCGCTCCACCCGAGATGCACCGCGGATGGGTCTGCTCTCCGAGGCACGCGAGCGTGCGAGGGCTCGCGAGCCTTTGACGAGACCCTGACGTGCGGGGGCGCGGCGCGCGGCGCAACCGCCTGGAGTGCCACTCCCGCGTACCCCGCGGAGTCCCGGCGTCCTGTAGGCTGACGCTGAGAGTCTTTTTCG